TCTCTTCATTTCACAGTTATATACGTATATGGTAGTCGCCGTGAATTTTAAGGTTGCGGTTAGATTTTTGATAGTACAACATTGGAAAACAAAATTGTAAGACAGATTTATATTAACCAACGATTTAGCAGTTGACGTCAGCCAATAACATTTCTTAACTACCTTGACTGCCATGGTGTAAAATCTTGAGGCAAGACGAGAGTAAAACATTATGTAGATATTTATATAATTCATCATTTTATAAGAGTATTTTCATTTTGTCTTTTATATAAAAAACGGGCAAAAAGATATCAATAGAAATGATGAGGTAAAAGCCAAGATATTGTTGTTATGTCTTCAAAGATGATTATCCAAAATTGTAAGTCTAGATGTATAAGCATCTTGAAGATTATTTTTTAGCCAATAGAAATGATGAGGTAAAAGCCAAGATATTGTTGTTATGTCTTCAAAGATGATTATCCAAAATTGTATGTCTAGATGTATAAGCATCTTGAAGATTATTTTTTAGCCAATAGCATGTATGCTTTTCCGTGTATACATGCTATTGGCATGACTATGCTCCATTGTTCACTGATTTTCATCCATTAGCTTTTTTTAAATTCCACCTTAGTTTAATTTATTAATCCACATCTTTGTTATAAACTCACATGTGGACAAAGTTTCATTTTTGTACAATATGCATTCATATGATTTATTGTCTACTGAAAAAAATACACATCATTTCATTAGATTTGCATTATTTGCTAAAAAACAAGAATGTGTGAATATCCTTTCAAATACATTGATGCATATCGGGATTGATTAAGATAAAATTCAATTTAGTATCAAGTTAATGTTATAAATGTGATTATTACATTATATAACCTCGCTCGAGAATTTTATTTTTGCATATGATATGAGAAAGGAAGAAAAAATATCAATCGATATTTTTTGGTATTTACACATACAGAATAAGCCATTTTTGTATTCTTCTAGCTGTGTTTGTATAAAGCTAAAGACATAACATCCAAACTATTCAATTATTTTTCCAAGAATCTATTATCTCAAATTGCATGTCATATTGTATAAATTATTTTGGTGTACCAAAATAATTTATTGAAATTTTCAGAGTGAGTTGTTTTTTAACGTCAGGGGTTTTTTTATTTTTTAAGCATTTGAGAAAAACATGATTTAGATCATTTAAACATATTTAATCCAGTAAGAAATATCTATTCATTGTGATGATATCAATGACTAGCCATATGTTATTAGTTTGAGTTTAAGTTAGTTTTGATATAAAAAAAAATCATTTTTATGTTATTTTATCATGTCAAAGTTAACTTATGGCATACCCATGGAGCAAAGTTTGCAATAATATCAACCACCAAATTCATATTTTGAATCATACTAACACTTATTTACCATCATGTGACTCCGAAGATCAGTATACAGTTATCTATTTATCTTAAGTTAATACTTCCCTCATGGATCGTATTGAGCTTTGGATCAACAATGTTGCATTCCACTTAGCATTGTAAAAATATTGTCCTTAGAATAAAAAGGAACCAGCGTTTGAAGAGAGAAGCATATGACAGGAAAATTGAAATATCCAAATCAAAAACTCTTTCTTTCTTTCCACACAAAGATTTGTTTCGAAGGATATTTTCCAACAGTTCATGAACCGTATTTAAATTATGATTCCTTAGATTTACATGGCAATCAACATGATTTGTGCTCAATAGTTGCTAGGTCGACGACTGATTTTGTTAATCATATCATTTATTTATTTATCTATATGGTTTTCTTCGTTAGGTGTACTTTACGACATCAAACTGATTCATCATTCATTTGTGGAATATATTGGCCATGTACACTTATTTTAATTTCAAATAAGACAACTAAAGACAAACCGAATCAAATTTAAATATTCCCAAAAAAAAATCTTGAATCAGATAAGAAAATTCATCTCACGTAGCTTATGCATCTACTGAACTCTTTGCAACATCAACGAGGAAATCAAGTGTACAAGAGTTTAATGAACAACGAGTTCAAGGATGAAACAAACCGTTCATCTTGAGCCTCCTCGAGAGCGACATCCAACACGCAAAACTGGATTGTCAATCCAGCATGGGATCGTCGCCAACTGGACCGACTTTAGAACAGCACAGTGAAATTGTTGAATCAGATCACCTTCCTGTATGTGCATCATCACGCATAAATCAAATGAATTCGGTTTATGCGTGTTCGATGGCCTGTTCTGCAAGGGACGGACTGTGGAAACTTGTTATTATTCTGTACATGGGAAATGGCGTCTGACCTCTGCTGAAGTGTGCAGTGCAGTGCAGGGCATGGACGCCCACGACGAAAACATCTGATCTCAAGCACTGCAGCGCCTTTGATGCTGCAGGGAAAACTTGCTGAACCGTATTATTAATAATAGTCGTAATAGTACCCTTTCTGTTCGTGTGGAGATTTGGCTGTGGGATTCAGGTGTAGCGCAGTTCTCTCCAAATTCCTTGTCACAGGGAGCTCCCTGCGCTGATGGCCCTTCGTTCTCTGGGTCCGTTTGATCTTCCACGCCTGTCTTCAGTTGACAAGCTCTTGAAGCTCAATCAATATCCAGAATCAGAGTCGTAGCAATTTCGAGGAAATAAAACTTGTTTCAGCTTGTTATTGATCATTGATGCCTCCCGAGTGATTGATTTCTCACGAGCCTTCCTGTCACAGGTTTACGAGATGGACTCTATATGACACTCACTCAAAGCTGGGAAAATCATTCCAATCCAGATTAGCCTCAAGCAGGCTACGAGCGAATATTAAATCAAAATTTTCCAAATCAAATTACTGCTAACAAGCGTTTTCAAAAGGTGAGCAGATTGGACTAGAAACTCGAAAGGTCCACAAGGTAAAAAAATAAAAATGTGCCGTTTTTACATTTATATGGAGCTTGATATCACATTCTCAGAGAGCAGTATATACACCAGCTCTGCAGACAGATAGCAGCAAATGTCCTAAGGATGGTAATGGGTTTTAACACATTACCTATTAAAGTATGAGTCACCTTCGATTATTTTTTTAAACTACACGAACAACGTGGGTTGTCAAAATTGGGTAGATTAAGATGAGCAGTAGGGAGATATTGCAATTGGTTTATTCAAAATTCTACTGCCACTTGTATCTTTCGACTTATCTTCAAGCAACCAATCACACTCAACGATCCAAGAGTGTGAAGAAATTCTTCAATCACCACCAGTGAAAAAATTCACTGACTGCACTTGTCGATGTTCACAAAATTTGACTAAGGGAAAGAAAATATCCGTAAGTTATTGATAAAATTACAATTTTCAGTTTACAATGTAGGCCTTCAAAGCATTAGCTTACAACAGGAACAATTTTCTATATGTTGTGTAAATGTATTTGTATTAGCATTACTTGCCAAGAATAGTACTAAATTTATCTTCTTATGTCTTCGTTTTTATAATCTGTCAAGAAATATCCCACAAATCAATTTATTTGCAACTCACATTAAAAACATAATGACATCTAAGGTTATGTCATGACTCCAACACATGTTATGAGATGATGAAAACAGTCTCATACCAATTGGTTTGACTACTCTCCTTCCACTAACGTAGAAATCAAATTGTTGGCTATCTTGAGATAAAGTTTCCATAAACTTCACGACTTATTCCAAGATACAAGACTGACCGTGGAACAATTCAAGTGTTTAGCAGAGTATGATCTTATAGATTGAATGGGAACATATCTTGAATATTGGTTATAGTATCGATAATGTAAGATGAAGGTGGTAATTAAACTAGAAGATCCATATAGCTCCAATACATTGGTCAAAATCATGCATGTAGTAATGTATAGGTCAGTCAGATTTTCTACTTCCAAACAAATAAAGCTTTACCCAGTTTTTAATTCAAATGTGTTTTATGACAACATGTTGACATTTGAGTTCTCGTTACAAGAATTCTTATGTAATCATAAAAAAATTCTAAGATAATCTTTCAAATAATAGCACACATTGATCTCAAAACACTCAATGCACTATAACGTGGCTTTAAACACAATGGAATGTGACTTATCTTCAGCCCAAACAAAATACTTCCTTGAAGTCAATATTTGTTCATTTCTGAATCATACATAATTCAAAACTATATGAAAAGTATTACATACTTTCAATTTTGATATACACTTGTCGTCATATGATAATAATATTGCATTTGACATTTGACAAGAACATGCAGTGTAGTTTTATATCAAACGTCAATATAAATGTCATTTTTGATATAAAACTACATTGCATGTTCTTCTGGACAAGTGAAAGAAATACTCTCGGGCCATGACGTCCAAGGTGAACAAGTTAGTGAAACTGAATTACATCCTGGTGCAGATAAAACCTCCGCCAGAGAGGAGGCAATTTGGCAGCAGTCCTTGGTGGGCACTTTCAGAACATGTTTAGAGGAAGTAGATCAGATCATCACCTCGATACATCTTCTTGCAACGAGAGCAGATGTGATGTTCAAGTTGCAATCCACTGTCACTGCAGGAGTTGAGTATGCCAGGTTGAAGAATCAGTTCTAAAAGATTATTCCATTCGAAGTCCTGGCTTGACGCTGTACTTAGACACCTCCTTTATGCTCCTACAAATTCATTTCGGTGATGCTCTCGTTTTAGTAGACACAGGTTGTAACAATTCGCCGCCCAAGGTCAAGATGATTAACTCGCAACTCAAAACAGGCATTCGTCGTAGATTGACGAATATTGAGTACGAAGGTGTTAATATTATGGCGAAAATGACATAGACTGATCAGCGTGCGATCGGCAGATCTAAAACCCAAAGCAGTAACCTTCAGCCGTAACGACATAACCAGAGTCACACGTAAAAGTGAGCTGAATGTTTTGTTGATGACCACTGCACAATGTAAGTTGCGTTCCACATTTCAATCTCAAGACGAGGAATACATCAATCGATCTTTCAGTGTTTGATTCTCAACATACTGATCTAAACTACTCCAGCTGCGTCAGAAAGCAGGAGAAGTGCACTACTCCTGCTCTCCAACACCCAGAGATGGTAACCTGTCTGTTACAGGGGTCTACCTACAGTCACAGCACTTGAATCAAGAAACAGAACCAGGCTGGCACGAGAGCTACGAAACCAGAGGGTCGCGCCAAGAGAACGCTGCACATGAATTTTGGAGCAGTGTACATTTCACTTTGTCCGGAAGCTAATGAACCGCCACCGACATATGTCGATACAAACAACTTGAATTCTCTAAACAACCACCTTGGACCATCCTTGGAGACTAAGACAAACCTTTCAGTTTACAATAGCGATCTGAAACCTGTTCGTGACCAGAATGAGGTCTCCTTCTCTACTGCTACAATCTAGTGCTCTTTCACGAGATGCAGCGTGTGCCAGCAGAAATGCAATGAGAGTTTGGACTTGAGCTTGAAACGGCACGGAAAGTGTAGAGAAGCTGGCAAACTCGGAACTTTGCGAGAACAGAGATGATCAGAAACGTGAGTACTGGAAAGACTTCAAAACTAGCGAAAACAATGACTTTCTGTCATAAGCTCCTGTCCAGCAGAGGACAGGAGCTTATGACTCTGAGCTTATGACATGAGCTCTGTAGCGCCCAGAAACTCCGAGAGATGGGTCACAGCAGAATATATCGTCTCTCCGCTTTTCACTAATCAGCAGTGGTTGCTACTCAGGCAGGATTCAATTCTCCGTTTCAATTTCGTACGAGCTGCAAGCCTGGGCAACCAGACATCTATGAGCTTTGGAATCCAGGATCTCAGCCAATTCTGTCATCGGGCAAAGTGCTTGTCGAGAAAAGATCCCGGGAAGTGGAGTTCTGAGACAGACTAACCGACAGTGGAATGCTCATCAACAACTGGACGACATGGGCAACAGCACTCTCGATCGCACAAGGGGCAATATGCCCGAAGCTACAATGCGTCCATCCAGGCTTGTTGACCTGACCAGGCACTTGTGGGTGGAGTCCCACTCATCTGTAATTGCAACAGAACAAGATGCTCGATCTACTGAAAATACCATGCTAACCTGCTCTCGAGCTAATAGCACGGCGTATTGCGTGGGCACGGTCCTTTCGATCTGCTTCCATTGCTGCCAAAAGGTGCCGGAGGATTAAGGGTACATGAGCGCTTGTACCTCTCCGGCACTTGCGAGCTCTGTCGCAAAATTCCTATCTGGTCCTCTACCGTAAAATTTGCTAGTTTCTCCAGATCTTGAAAGCCCTGCTTTCGAACTTACTCCTGCCTCTGCCTCGCCAGGGTAAGATCTGAGCTCCGGAGGATTTGGGCCTACCAGAGGATCTTGCCGAGAGACGAATCCTGGATTCTGGGGCAAATTCCAACCATCTACGCGACTGCGGACCGAGAGTTCGGTCGTCTTGAGTGGCGCCGTGAGCGCTCCGCATTCCAGCGTCGTCCAAATCTCACTCGGAGAGAAAGCCCTTCTCGGAGAGATGGTGGATGATGATGCGAGCCATCTCGTCGGGCGAGTAGCAGGCGCCGTGCTCGTTCACTGCCTTGATCACGATTTCAGGGTTCACAGGCTTCTCATACGGGTCGTCAATCCCGGTAAAAGCTTTGATCACTCCCTGCCGCGCGAGCTTGTACAGGCCCTTCGCGTCGCGCTCCTCGCAGACTTCGAGAGGAACATCCATGAACACTTCGATGAAATTGCCCGTGGGCACGAGCTCGCGCACGATGTCTCGGTCCCGCTTGTACGGGGAGATGAAGCTGACGACAGCGATCAATCCTGCGTCGGCGAAGAGAGCAGCAGTCTCGCCGACCCTGCGGATGTTCTCGCGTCGATCTTCAGCCGAGAACCCCAGGTCTTTACAGAGGCCCTCGCGGATCTTGTCGCCGTCCAGCACATAACTCACCTTCGCCATGGAATTCAGAATCCGATCCATCGCAAACGCCACGGTGCTCTTGCCGGATCCGCTCAACCCTGTGATCCACACGATGCACCCCTTCTGCTGCAGCAATCTCCTGCGGTCGTCCATCGTCACCAGCGACTCCTGCCACTGCAAACTGCTGCTGGTGCTGCTACTACTCCGAGCAGATGCGGCCCCTCTCGAGCTGCTGCTGCTGCAGCAGCAGCTCCTCCTCCTCCTGCTCCTCCTGCTGCTGCTGCTCCCGCTGCCGCCGCTACTCTTCCTTCTGCCGCCTCCTCGAGACCCACAACTCTCCGGCCTCACCTCCTCCTCCTCCTCCTCCTCCACTTCCTCCTCGCCCACGAGCCCGCGCGCGCTCGGCCGCCTCCTCTCGCTCGACGACGACGACGACGACGACGACAAGAGCTCCGCGCTCGAGAACACGGTCAATTGCCGCCACCGTCGACGACGAGCGCCCGGGCCGATTCGCGTCGTCGAGAGCAATGCGCCTCCTGCTGCTGCAGATTGGTACGCGTGCACAACCAGCGAATGCGACGACGAGGAAGACGAAGAGGAGAAGGGTGCGCTGGAGGTCGTCGAGGTGGTGGTGGTGCTGGTGGTGGCTGAGAATGCGTCGGTGCGCAGGAGGAGCAGATGAGCTGCGGATGAGAGAAGGGCGGCCATGGAAAGCTCCTGCCGCTCCTCCTCCTGCTATTACTAGTGCGCTTCTTCCTCCTCCTCCTGCTGCTGCTGCCGCTGCCCCCTCGACTGCTGGTGGCTGCGTGTCTGCCCCCCGCCTGCCTGCGTGCCTGCGCGCCTGCGAGCGAGCCTTGACGGGGGCAAGGGGGAGGGGAAGAGGAAGAGGAAGGGGGAAGGGGAAGAGCAGCAGCAACGAGCGAGACGTTGATCCAATAGCGGCCACAGAAACGAATCGAGCGGGAAAAAACAAAACGCGCATTCCTCGCGGCGGTGCCCAGCCCCGAGATCCGCCGGGTAACGAGGATGAATGCCCCCCACGGCCCCGCCGGTTACTTGCTCGCTCGCATGATCGGGGACGGATTTCCCCCCACCACCGCCGAACGAACGACGGAACGTCAGTGCTCGATATCGGTTGCCCCTCCGGGCTTGGGCTTGGGGTTGGGGTTGGGGCTCGGGCCTGGGGCGGGGCTTGGGCCTGCTGCGTGTGCCTGTGCTGCGCCGTGCAGATGATGATGATGAGGACAGTGGGGCTGTGGCTGGGATTGTACCTCAGCCCCGAACGCGAACCGCCTTTCCCGTGCAGGCCAGGCCAGGCCCGGCGGGGGCTGCAATGCGAGCCTGTGCAGTGGACGACGACGACGACTTGTGCAGAACGAGCCCGGCGCAAGTGGAAGCAGCGGAATTGAATGTGAGGCGTTGTCGTGGGGTAGTCGCGGGGGTGCGCGATGGCCGATCGATCGTCAGATGGAAGGATGGCTGGCTCCCTCTTCCGCGTCGTCCTAGGAGGCCGCGAGTCTGCTGCGATGCGGCACCGGGTGATGCGGCTGCTCGGTCGGCTGCCTGTGGCCGGCCGAATTGCCAGCGGAGATCATGGGTTGGTGAGTGCAGTGAGTGCGAGAGCGACCGTCGGCGAGTGTGACAGATTCGTGGAACTCTGTGAACGATGCGACATAGATCAGAGTGAGCCGCGAACTCTGGAGCTTTGCTCCTGCTGAGAACAAGGAATCTCAACAAGCGCGCGTCGTCCTCATCCTCCTCGCAGTTTGGTTGGGTGCGACGATCCCTCCCTCCCTGTGCCGTCTCACATTTCCATTCCTTCCTTCTTCGGAGCAGTGATTTCACCCTTCTCCCTCTCGCCCTCTCCCCCTCTCCCACGTGTAGACAAACTAGTCTCCCTTCGAACTGCGCGCTTCTGCTTCGCTCACTCGATCGACGACCACCGTCGTCATCATCTGCACATCTCAGAAGACTCGCGAGGCCCAGTAGCGCCTCGAGTCCACATCGGTGATTAATGTTGCATGTTGCGGACGAGGACGAGGAATTCTATTTGTCAGATCCAACCGAGCACCAAGCATTTGCTGCCGTGTATGAGGCTCAGAGCTGTGGCTCTGGAGGAGGAGGAGGAGGAGGAGGACCAGGAGCAAGAGGAGAGCATGCCGAGCACTCATGCGAACTGGACCTTGCGAAAAGAGTGCCCTCTCTCTGGGCCAGACTGGAGAAAAAAGCAGGTCCCATTTGGCAAGCGTGCGACAAAATGTGCGATCCTCTTACATGCAAGGATTATTACACATTGCGGTAAAACCTCGAGCTAGATAGATACTTACTTACTTCCCAGGGCTGACCAGGATCTCGTCAGAGCCAGGCAGGTAGGTGGCTAGACTCTTCACTGGTCAGCCCCTGACCTCGTCAGTCAGATGCAGGCAGGTAGACGTCCGAGCACAAGTGGTCACAGCATTGAGAGTGGGCGCACTGGAATATTGTACTCCTGAAACTCTGAGAGAGACATGCCACTGGAGAGATGTGAGCCGAATTCAGCAACACTGAATTTGGTTTCTGATTTATTTGAGAATTACGAAAGCTTGGAGAGTGGAGAGTGTAGAGTGTGAATGAGTCCATCAACATGCTGGTTTCTTTTTGGACCAAAGTGTGGGTCGTGTTGACTTTGCATATCAAATCTCGTCGCGCTTTTTGAGATATCTTTCTTTCCTTGTTTTCTATGTCACTTGTTCCCACTTGTCACTTTATGTCTTATAAAGAGACAAGTTGGACACGTGGTTTTTGGTGTGCCTAATCGACATCCTAAAAATATAATCTTCATGGTAAGTCCCGTAGACCATTTATGTCATGATTAAAAAAAATTCTCTTATTTTTTAATATAAAAATCACAAAATATATAATTTTTTTGAATTATAATTCAATAATTTTGTAAATATTGTGTTATTTCATTTTATTTTTAGAAATTTCATTCAAAATATAAATTCACGAGCAATAATCCTATGTTATTTTATTTTATTAATAAATAAAATAAAAATATTGATTGTTATAATGACAATTATATTAAAGAAGCTGAAAATATCTTTTAACTGAATAGATAGAATATCATAGTAATTTTGATAAAATATCATAGTAATTTTGAGATTAAATCATACTTCTAAAACTACATTCTTGGAAAATATTTTACATAAAGTTTAATCAGAAATAATATGGTACATTCAAAACGTATATAGAATATGTATAAAAAGTCTTTACTCTTGGTTTTAATGTGCATTGATATATCTTGTATAATGTATTCAACTGATTTGAATTTCAATAAACTAGATTAAAAATTTAACAAGCCATATTAAGCATATTTCAATCAGTATTATTTCAGTCTTCAAAATACTTCCTACTTTCAAGCTTAATTGATTATAGTTGTTTATATTGGAACATCTTTTGATCTAATCTTTTATCTTTTCAACTATAATACTAAAAAAATTTTAATTAAAATTCACATAACAAATATGAAAGAAATAAAAAAATTTAAATAAAAAAATTTATTAAAAAATGCATCTAAATTTGATTCAATATATTAAACTAAAAAATGACACAAAATATTATGATTAGTTATCAATATATATTATTTTTTTATTTTAGTTGTTATAAAATATAAATCTTAAACTCAATATCAGTGTTTTAAATTTATAATTTTAAAATATAACAATAAAGTGTAACCACAATATTATTATATTTTTTTATTAAAAAAAAAAGTTGTACATATAGTTTGAAAATATGATGTTATTAAAATTACTTCTAATTGACTCATTAAAAAAAAATTGGTGAACATTTTACCCGAATCTAGAATTTTTAATTATAACTAAAATTTAAACTCAACACATCAGCATAATCTTTAAGGTACATCATAATACATTGTAATTGAATATGTGAGTTCCACTTTCATCAGTATTCATCATAGCCAATCTTTTGAAAAAAACCAAAACAATACTTAAACATTATTTTGTTGTAATGGAAATTTTAGATTGAAAATTCTGAAATAAAAATTAAAAATTAATTTTTAAAAACTTCACATCAAAAAAAACAAATTGTTGTGAACTCGTTTTTTTTAAATGTAGTGAATTTGTAAATGTCAATATGAAATATTTTATGTTTTGAAAAACATGGTTGAAACTATCAAAAAATCACTTGATGATTTTTTTTTATATAAATTATCGCTGTCTGTGTTTTCTTGTTATTTTATATAATGCTATGCAAATTCAAACTACTCAATTCACTTTTGAATATTACAAGCTGACAATAAATCTATATTTTATACAAATATATATCAGCTTACATTAAACAAGTTCACTTGTTTAAAGTACTGATACAATTGACGTTTTTTAAAATGAGAAAATCTTTGACAATTACAATTGGAAAAATATAAATTTTATACATTACATAGAAGCATCTTCATTATTGTAATATTATACTTGACATGAGGTACACATCCTTGTAGATTTTATCATATTTCTTACTAGATCACAATCAATTGATTTTATTACAATAAAAATCAATATAATAAATCTTAAAATACTTAAAATTTTAATTTTAATTTAAAATTGAAAATTTTAAAATTGCTTCCAAAATAACTTTTTAACAATAGATGTAATTTTCAAAAACTAAATTTTTTTGGCCCAATAGTCTTTTGATACAAAATTAGATAAATTTCACAGATAAATATTTTTGAAAATGATAAAAAATTTATCAAAATCAATATAAAGTTTTTTAAATTTATTTTAAAAAATAAAAAATAATCATAATAAATTTAAAATAATGGGTTAATTAAACATAATTGTGATAAAATTGCATTTAAAATTTTTACATTAAAATTTTTGTGTATCTAAAAGCTTAGATTAAATCATCCATAAAAAATTCCAATTTTTTTTTATAATAATAATAATGATAAAATCATGATAAATAGATTGTAAAAATATCACATACCACACATTTTGTTTGAATACAAGAAGATACAATTTTCATATAATACACGTTTTTTTAATTTTAATAAATAATTATTATATTTAATTAAAATAAAATTGTATCAATAAATTTTTGTACATTACATGTAAAACATCAAATTTCATTTTATGCATTTATATGTTACAGTTTAATTTTTGAATATGTTTATGCTTCTAGTTCTTACATAACTTGATATATTAATCTCACAAATCATCTAATAAATCTTTATATATAAAAAAAAATTAACACATTATTTTATATATATATAATATTTCAACTTAATTAATAGCCATATCCGCGGAGGAGCTCACCTAACACTGATATTGCTCCGACCCATCAATGTTTAGCGAGTTGCATCCGCACCACATTTCATATTTTCAAACGCGTAGACATTGCTTCAAGTGGAAGTGGGAGCTTCTTTCCAAAAGATTCATTCAATGGATCACTCTTAGAGATGTGGAGAAGTATCAAAAAAAAAAGTTTATGGAATGTGAGTAGTCGTTGTGACTGATCGACACTTCAGGCAAAGGATTATAATAGTGGATTTGTGGAAAAACAATTCATTGCCTATGTTAATTCAAAGTTGATTCACATAGATGTATCATCTTAATATCTAGGTTGCGACTCACTACCCCTCTCCTTCTTATCACTTTTGGCTAATTTCACATTAGCATTTGATATATATATATATATATTTTTTTTTTTTTATGTCAATAAATTATATGTTAATATGTCATTGAAAATGATGTATACAAAAAATCGGGCTAAACTTTTTATTCAATGTTCATAAATCCTTCTTTATATATAAAAGATTAATTTTTAAAGTGCAATTTTTTTAGTGAAACTCAGTATATCAATTTAAATCAATATTATTTATCTTATAATAGTCAACTATTTACTGTTCCCACGTACTGTCTATGTACCTTTTGGTGATGTAATGTAAACATAAAAGTGAAAGTAAAGATAAAAATGAAAATTTTGAGCTTAGTTTTGACAATTCTAATAAAATATGTTTCAAAGCATATATTCACATCAGTGCCATCATAGTGTTTACAAATCTCTATTCATTGTTGGAGCTGTGTACATTATACG